TTTAGAATGCAATATTCATCAGGGCAGGGATTTCTGTCTTGCTTTGTTCAGAGCTATTTTCCTAGTGCCCAGCATAATGTTTATTTAACTCAATAAATACTAGCTGAATAAATAAATGAATTGCAGCACGGTAACACTTATGACTATGGACAAGACTTGAGGGATAATAAGTGGGGAAGAAAACATTTATTTTAGGTTAATGGAATGATGAATGATATTCTTTAATACTGTAGTTTATACCTTAAAAATAAAAATTAAATATAAACAAATTGATGGCATGCAGTCTACATCATTCCTGAGATAGTTGAAAGCACAAGAATAGTATAATGAAAGCTGGTCTGGAATCTGATGAAGAGCTTCTTTTCTGGAAGGTGGTAAGCATGATATGCATGTGCCAGGTACACAGAGATGATAATAACCTTTCTAGGTTGGCATGACAGGACAACTTTGTATTTAAGGCAAATCTCAATGTTACTCTAGACATTCCTCATCTCTCCTTTAAAAATAAATTTACATATCAGTAAAACACATACCAGACTTCCAGCTTAAAACACTGTGAAATATGTCAACACATTCATTAACAGCCAACTATTTGAAACATAGGAATTTAATCTAGATTCTGCTTAGATACAGGCTTGCAAAGAAATCTGACATCAGGTCACAAAAATAGAAATCTGTGTTTGCTCAGCACAGAAACACTCAGTGTTACTAGGCTCAGCTTGAAAATACTTTCCCATGAATAGCAAAACAATAATAAAAAAAGAAAAAGAAAAAAAATTACTTGGTTAATGAATATGTAAATAATAAAGAAAAATCTTAAACTTCAGCAATACCAGAAGAAAAGAAAGTCAATTAGTAATTAAAATTAAGGTTTTCACCAGATAGTATATATGTATTTGATACCACTTAAGAAAAAAGCTAAATACAAAGTATTTTGTGTTAAGAACACCAATTGATCATGTTACAAATGACAAGGGCATAAAAATCAGGTTGTTTTGAACACAAAAGTCTAAAGACTTCTGCATGTGGAGTAAGAAGCCCTGAAAACTCATTATGATTCATCCACGAAGGGGAAACATGATCCACAGAAGAACCTTAAAGTATTTTCTACCCTTTTGGGGAAGAGCAAACACCAGATTTTTTTTTTTTTTAATATATTCAAGAAAGAGGGTGGTAGAATGGAGTATTTTAGGAAACATTTTCCTAGCTTGACTATACAGTTGACTCAGAAATTCATAAAGCACAAAGAATTGTAATAAAAATACTCATAATTGGCTTATTTTTCCAATCAACTAGGCTTGAGAAGTGAGCAATATAGTTCACTATGCTACTGAAGTGTTAAAAGAAGTTTAAAAAATGTATTATTTTCCTCCAACAGTAAAGACACGTTGGACTGTATTCATTATTCTCTATATTTTATTCCCTTTTATCTGTATAACTTAAGACTCTCACTCCCGCCCAGAAGACAGCCTTCTCACCTCCATGCTCACTGCCCCATGAGGTTCTGTAACTGCACTGCCTTTTAATCTTCACCTTCAAGGTCTTCCTGCCTCATCATACAGCTCATTGTAGCTTCTGTACTAGATCTAGTCCAAAGTGGCCTATTTCTTCTTCCTCTTGCAACAACTGGGTAGGTCTCCTGACCACATCACAGAAAGAATGCAGAAGGAAAGACACTTCTGGTCCATCATTCATCATGACCAATTTAAGTCAGTCATGATCTTGCTTCTGCTTAGGGCTCTACCAAGACTGAGACTGTTCAAGAAAAAAATGCAGTTTCATGGAACAGCATTAACAGAATTCACTAAGTAACTGACAAAATTCCTATTGGCTAACTAGTTCACATTTTGTAGCAAAAATGCCTCTAATTACAAGAAAGGACTTCTTTCATCTGTAACAACAACAACAAAAAAATCCTTTGTATAAGTTTCATATAAAAACATAATGTGTAGGGTTGGTGGAATGATTCAAGTGGTAAAGTGCCTGCCTAGCAAGCTTGAGGCTGAGTTCAAACCACAGAACCACAAAAAAAAAAAAAAAAACCCAAAAAGAATATCATGTATAAAAAGGTAACTTTTTCTTTAAAAATTTATACGTGATCACTAAAAATACCTATGTTTGGGATTTTTCTCCTTCTGCTCCTAAAATATAATACATTGTTTGCCATTCATCTCATCACTCATGACTATTCCATTTGTGTAGGATAACTGTTTTATCACTATTTGAATATCTGTAGTTTTCCTCCAGTAACAGGCAGGAATTTTTATTCTCAGCTCTTCATCTGATTTTGCAGGCACCTTCCCTTCTTATTAATTTTTTATTTTGTCTGGTACTAGAGACTGAACCCAGGGCCACATACCTGCGAGGTAAATGCTCTAACAACGAATGTACATCCCCAGCCTGCAGTTTTTGAGATAGGGTCTTGCGATACAGCTCAGGCTGGCCATAAACTCTCTATCCTCATTCCTCATCATCCACAGTACTGGGATTACAGTCAAGCAACACCATGCCCAGTTTTAACTTCTTTTTTTTTTTTTTATTCAGACCAAAGGAGGGCCCAACTACTCTGTCCTAGGGACTCTCAAGGAGATTCACGCAGAGAAAGCACAAACTTAGACTCTAAAGACACCCTGATGGCACAAAAAGGTGAGGAGATGAAGGAAAGGCTCTCCAGGGCTCTGAACCTATGTCAGCCAAACAGTGAAACAGTAAATTTTATATTATGCCTATTTTACCATAATCTTAACAAAAAAAAAAAAAAAAAAAAGTAGCAGCAAGGACATATACTTGTGTCTCTCACTTGTCTCAAGCAGGGCAGAGAAGTTGGCACAATAGAGTTTGACAAACTTAGAATTCCTATGCATAAATAAAAGCATTCTAATGACCTTGGTCAAATGACACTGTCCACTGCATATCCACAGATATGATAACTCCTTTTTAAATTTAAAAACCAACATTATACAAGGGACTGGTGTCTCACACCTATAATCCCAGCTACTATGGAGGCAGAGATCAGAAGGATTGAGGTTTGACAGTTTGAAGCCAGCCCTAGCAAAGAGTTTGGGAGAACTCATCTCAAAAAAACCCAACACAAAACAGGGCTGGTGGAGTGGCTCAAGTGGTAGAGCACCTGCCTAGCAAGCATCAGACCCTAAGTTCAAAACTCCAGTACCGCCCAAAAAAAAAAAAAAAAAATTCAGAAAACACAACATCATGTATAACCTGACAATATGGGTAAAGCAAAGCTGGTCTGGCTCACGCCTAGAATCCCAACTATTCAGGAGGCAGAGATAAGAAGGATTGTGGTTCTAAGCCAATCTGGGCAAATTTCTCAATTTCTCAATTTCAATTTCTCAATTTCAAACTTCTCAAGACCCTATCTCAAAAAAAAAATAGACCACAAAAGACAGCTGGTGGAGTGACTCAAGGTGTAGGCCCTGAATTTAAGACCCAGTACCGGGGCGGGGGGGAATGTGTGTGTTATACACACATACACACGGCTAAAGCAAAAGAAACTAGCTGATCACAAGAGAGAGGTACATTTGGTAAGAAAGGAAGAGACCTGATGCCTTTCTACCAGGGAAATGCCCTCCAGCAGTTTTCCTATAGTCATGGGACAGAAATTCCAAATCCACAGGATCCATAGGTTCCTATTCTTCAGCGTTTTCTGCTGAGCAGAAGAGAGGACATATTACAATCACTTCTAAAAGTGAGTTACACACACACACACACACACACACACACACACACACACACACAACAAAAGCAAGCTTTGGTTTTGATCAGCCGGTTGCTAGTAGAGCCCTGAGTATCTAAATCCTGAGTATTTAAATAAAAAAGGTATTCTGCCTTTTTTGACCATCTTGAGGGGAAAAAAATTCCTAAACTAGCACAAAAAGCAACTTTTACAGAAATCATACACGGCAGACCGAATCTATTTCCATTTAAATATTAACAAGAAATGTGGTTGAAATCATCCCAGTGTGCCCTTCTGACCTTCAATTTGACCAAACAAAATCCATGTAAAAGTTCATAAAGGAAGAGCAGCAAAAGCAGTAAAGATAAATGTTTGCACTTTTACATTATGGCCAACTTTAGAGAAGGAAACACACAGCTGGGTGCCAGTGGCTCATGCCTATAATCCAAGCTACTCGGGGCAGAGATCAGGAGAATCAACAGTTCGAAGCCAGCCAGACAAATAGTCTGAAAGACCCTATCTTGAAAAAACCGATCACAAAAAAGGGCTGGCAGAGTGGCTCAAGGTGTAGACCCTGAGTTCAAACTCCAATACCACAAAAAAAGGGAGGAAACACACTGGGAAACTATCTGAAGAGCAAGACTTCCAAAGGTATACTAGTTTAAGTGTTAAGAAAGCAAGATCTTCAGTGGAGTAACTGTGTTCACTTTTTAAAATTTCCATACCAATACCTGCCAAATCAATGAAATAAAAGCTATGAAAATTTAAGTTATTGCTAAAATCTCTTTCAACTTTAGACAGTAATCAGTATATGAAACCAATACATTCATTAACTCAAAGGCACTGTTGTTTAGAGTAAACCAGAGAGATATAGGTACTCTAAAGACATTTATCCAACAGGGTTGCATAGGAGATAGTGATTCTGATGCATCTTATCTGCTTTATGAAGATTCATACAACTCACTTTCTGAAACAAGTGCAAAGCTGTACAATTCTGATTCTATCCATTTTTGATCTGTCTGTCTTGAATCTACTCCACCCCTCCTTTGTAATTCTTAGTAACTGGGGAATCTGAGGATCTCAGACATGTACATATTATAAAACAAGTAAATCTGACAAAATATCCATGTACATATTATAAAACAAGTAAATCTGACAAAATATCCAAATGATGCAACATTTGCTTAAGTTTGGTTTCAAACTACAAGGCCATTCAATCAGTCTAGAAGAGACGTTAGTTAACAACAGCTCATCCTTAGATTTAACTGGGGAGATTTCCCTTGCAATAGACCACACTACTCACCTTTAGGACAGAGGCTAAGCTGGTCATGTGCTCATTGAGGGCACCCTCGGACTCCTTATAGGTCAAGCAAGTGAACTGGTACTCCTCCGGATCAAAGGCATCAGCCCCCTGCTGCTCCACATCGCTGGCTACTCCCACATAATAGTCCTCTATGTCCCCAGGGTCCTCGTCTTCTTCCTCTTCTTCCTCCTCCTCACAATTTGGGTCATAGTCCTCTTCATTGCTGTCAGACCCCTGGCTATTCATGTCCACGGACATCTTAGCATCCAGCCAAGTTGGAGATCAGGAAAGCAGCTGCTTTTTCCCCCTCCCCCTAAACTTTATCGCTTTCTCAAATACATTAGTATTTTTTTTCTTCTAAGGGAGGAAAGAAAAAAGTGTTAATTTTTCCCCTTGAGAAGCATTAATAGAAACCATTCAAGAATCAAAATGGCATAGCGCTCCCTCTAGTCCCACTATTACCTATTCCAACTCTTGTCTCATATGGAGAATCTCACCATTATCCCCTTGGCCCAGGCTTATCAAAAAGGAAACCCTTCCCTGAAGAGGCAAAAAAAAGGAACTGATGATGGTAAATTCACATGAAAAGCCTGGCATGAAAGGGCAAAGGTGTCTGCCTATGAAAGGGAGTCAAATTCCAATAGACTTGTCCTTCTTTCAAGAGTCCTTAAGGGAGAAAAACATCCTTGCAGCTGGCTGTACACAGGGCAAGAAACGTAAGGTTTAGCTACCAAAGTTTAAAGTTTTGCTGATCATGCCCGGTGACTAATTACCAGACAGTATGATTAGGAACACAGTTCTTTGCCATTATAAAATATAAGGAAAGAAAACTATTGTTGCATAGACCTCCCTCTCAGATGTCTGCAAAATAGGTACAAAGCCAGGCAGAGGGGTAGGAGGTAGCACATGCTTGTACTTGAGGCAGGAAGATTGCATTCAAGGCCAGCATACACTACACAGAGTTTGAGGCCACCCTGGGCCATGTATTAAAACTGTCTCAAAGAAAAAAAGAAGAAGTAAAATAGGTAGTTAGAAAAGAAAAATAAAAGTTACATAGCTCTTCAACATTTTCCTCCAGCTTGCAAAGTTGACTAATTTTTTAGTCTTAAAGAGTTCTGCTAGCAGTGGCCAGTAGTTCACACCTGTAATCCTAGCTACTCAGGAGGCAGAGATCAGGAAGATTGAAGTTTAAGACCAGCCCAGGCAAATAGCTGGAGACCCTATCTAGAAAAATCATTCACAAAAAGGACTGGTGGAGTGGCTCAGAGTGTAGGCCCTGAGTTTAAACCCCAGTTACCAACCTCCCCCCCACCCCGCCCCCCGCAAAAAAAGTTTTGCTGCACCTTTAAAAGAAATACTTAAGAGGCAAAGAAACTGATCCCACAATCAAGGAAAACTGCAGATATTCTGCCTTAGCTGGATTAAGGGTAGGAAAAGCCATAATCTATTGTGAATGAAGAACAAGAATTCAAATATAACTAAACACTGAAAAATCTTCACAGAGCAAAATGTTACTCAATTACATATAATGAAAAAGAACACTAGTTGAGAAAGCAAAAATCACAAATCTTAATCTCATCTCAAGAAGATTTTGGCAAAAACCCATTAACTTTTCTCCATAAATATTGTTTCAAATAATGATTTGCAAGAAACAATATCAATTAGTGATTTAAATCAAAAAATGGAGGAAAGAAGAGCTGAGGTTAAAAAAAAAAATCTAAAAAGAGGGCCTTAAAATCCAAAAACATTTGGACTCACTAGTCACATAAACAAATCAGGACTACATACACTAGTAAATGTAAAGTTTATTTGAGGTATATAATCTCTTAAAAAAAAAAAAAAAAAAAAAGCAGATGCCGATGGCTCACACCTGTAATTCTAGCTACTTTGGGATGTTGAGATCAAGATCTCAGTTCAAGGTCAACCTGAGCAAATAGTTCATGAGACCCCCAACCTCTAAAATTAACCCTTGTAAAAATGGACTGGAGGTGTGGCTCAAGCAGTAGAGAGCCTGCTTAGCAAACACAAATGAGGCTAAAGCAGGAAGATCTCAAGTTCAAAGACAGGTATACAGTAAGAAACTTGTCTCAAAAACAAACAAAAAAGCCGTATTTTAAAACAAAGACTAAGAATGAATGTGGGCGGGGGAAATGTACACTGAATATATAACCAGTCTGAAGGACTACAGAGTCACTTTTTTATATTATAAAAATACCAGTTAGTTCAAGTTGACATGTTAACTAGAAATGTTCCAACTAAAAAAAATTATAGCACAGCAAATTTTTTATGGTATAACCATAATCACAACTGACCTTAATTACTTTTTTTCTTTAAAAGGAAAAATTAATAATCTTTAAATTAAATATACCTGTAATCTATGACGATCTTTCAAGCAGATGGCACCCAAATCACCTGTCATATGATTTCCATCTAAAATGAAATGAGAAAATATTTGCTTTTAAAACTGGTACCCTAAAATAAATGAAAAAAAAAAAAAAGGGAACACTGCTTTTACAAGTTTATTTATTTACTTTGTTTTTTGGTACTACTGGGGTTTGAACTCAAGGCCTCACATTTGCTAGCCAGGCACTCATGGCTTAATCCACTCAACCAGTCCTTTCTTTGTGTTGGGTTTTTTGAGATAAGAGTTTAAACTATTTGCCTGAGGCTGACTTTGAACAGAAATCCTCCAGATCTCTGCCTCTAGGATTACAGGTGTAAACCACTGGTGCCCAGCTGGATAATTGATTTTTAAAGCTTTTTTTCCTTTTTATTTGTATTTTTAAATCTTTGAGGGAGTACTAAGGTTTGAACTCAGGGCCTTACAGTTGCTATGCAGGCAACCTACCACTTGCACCAACACTCCAGCCCTCTTTTATCTTTATTTTTACATAAAATACGACTTATAGGACAAATGGAATCTGTGAATATTGCTCCCATTTAGAAAAAAGTATCACTAGCAATAACAAGTCTCATTTAACAAGAACCAATTTAAGGTTAGACTCATTCTCATTTAATTTTTCTAAGAATGGCCATTGTCCCCTTGTTACAAATGAGGAAGCTATGTTTATAAAGGTTTAAGTAGCTTTCCCAGGATCATACAACTGCAACCAGAGGAACCAAGTATCAGTCTTCCCATGGTCTATGAGGATTCATAACTAGCCATCTCCAGAGAGCCTGATACAAAACTATGGCAAGACCCTCTGGAATCCCACTAACAAAAGAGTGTGCCTTCCAAATTCTTTGATTTCTCCTCAAAATCTGGGCTTAGAGTGCCCAGGGGCTTCTTAACAACTAAATATTCAAGAGTGTGTGTGTACTTCTCAACAACTAAATATTCAAGGGGTGTGTGTGTGTGTGTGTGTGTGTGTGTGTGTGTGTGTGTAGGGGGGACTGTGGGAGAAATCCAGGCTTTCCCAAAAAAGAGGTACATCTTAGGTGTTCTGGTTTAGATTTTTTTTTTTTTTTTTTAAGTTTAGTCAAGGTTTACTTGACTAAAAGCAGAGCAAAGTAGGGAAAAATGGAAAGGGAGAAAAGAACACTCCCCTGAAAAGAGGTAGGACACAGAAGCTCCTAAATCCAGATTGGGCCTGGCCTCCAACCAAAAGCCCACCTATACTTCCCTGGTAGTTTGGCTGACAGATACTTACCACCACACCTAGCTTGGGTGAAATGGGGTATGGATAACTTGACAGAACTGGCCTCTCACCATGAGCTTCCCAATCTCTCAGCCTCCTGAGTAGCTGGAATTACAGTCATGTTTCACCATGCCTGACCAAAGTTTAATTTTTAATCTATTCAAAGTTAAACCTCAACATTCTACTTGAAAGAGTAGCCTTGCACTGGTAGCTCACACCTATAATCCTGAATACTCAGGAGGCAGAGAATAGGAGGATCATAGTTTGAGGCAAATAGTTCCAGAGACCTATCTCAAAAAACTCAATACAAAACAGGACTGGCAAGTGACTCAAGTGGCGGAGTGCCTGCCTAGTAAGTGTGAGGCCCTGTGTTCAAACCCCACTACTGCCAAATTAAACCAAACCAAACAAAAAAGATCCTAAACTGGCAGAGTGGCCCATGCTTGTAAATCTCAGCTACTGGGTAAGTGGAGGCAGGAGGATTAAGAATTCAAGGTCAGCCTAGGTAAAGTTATCAGACCCTATTCTCAAAAAAAAAAAAAAAAAAAAAGATACAAGGTGGGTATAATGTAGCTCACCTGTAATCCCAGGCACACAGGCAGCATAGATAGTAGGACAGCAGTTTAGGCCAGTCTGAGCAGAAATGCAAAACTGAGTTTCTGCACTTGGGAGACTGAGATGGGAGTAAAGTGCTTCGAAGTCAGCATAGGGGTTGGAGATATGACTCAAGTGATAGAGAGCCTGCCTAGATAGTGCTAGCCCTGAATTCAAACCTAGTACTGTGTTGTCATCCTTCCTCCCCACCCCAGAAAACCTGTAAAAAAATTAGTCAGTGGGCAAAAAGTTAGGAAGAATCCCATCTCTACTAATAAAAAGGTGGGCGTGGTGGGTATGCTTACACAGGAAACATAAAAGGTCCAGTCCTGGGCAGCAATAAAAAAGCGAGACCCTATTCCAAAAAACATCTAAAGGAAAAAGCGCTGGGGGTGTGGCTCAAGTGGTAGAGCTCAGGCCAAACATGCGCAAAGCTCTGAGTTCAAACCACGGTAGCGCCAAAAGAAAAAAAGGAATGCTGACCTTGCGCAAACTGGCGCAGCCCAGGCTGGCCTCGAACTCTAGACCCTTTCACCAGAGCCAAAAATCATATTCTGAAGACCTGCCACCCACCCTGGACTGTCTCACCAAGCATGATCACACATAATTAAAGGATCCAAACTAAAAATATCTCACATCTTAAAGTTGATATAAACAGACCACAGATATTTGGTGAACATGATATTTAACGACAGGTCATTTCCTAAAAAAACTACTTGGCACAAAGATACGAATCAACAAGTTTTAAAACCCTTCACTCTGTCCTAATACAGTAGCCACTGGTCACACACAATTATTTAACTTAAATACTAAGTGAATTTTGGTAAATTTTTCTGTCTAGAAATTTTTAGTCTAGTCTCCATGTTAAGCACTTAATGGCCACAAGTGGCTAAAGGCTACCATCCTGAACAGCAAAGATCTGCAACATGTTCATCGTGACATAAACTTCTATGGGACAGAGCAACAATCTGAACTAAGGTGAAGACATTCGAAAACACTTCTGCTTCTCTCGAGGCTAGCCCAGCAGCGTCGGGCGAGGCGAAACGAATGTCTGTTTGGGGGCACCGCAGGCTCCGGGACCTCCGCGCGGACGCAGACCCCACGCGCTAGAAAGCACCTTCCTACGGCGGACGTTAACAAAATCGTGCGCGCGGCACTTCAAGAGCTCCCAAAAATGACTCGAGTGCGGAGCTTCGGGAGAGACGCGTTTCCTCGGAGCGCCCGGCGGGGAGAGCGGACCGGCGCCGGCCGGTCAGAGGAGTTGGCCTCCGACCTCTCTGTGAGCTGAGCAGGCAACCAGGGGGGACATGCGGGAGAGACGACGGGCGCTCACGCTCTCTGGCCACCTCCCGCCCCCCCCCCCCAACACACACACAAAACAGCGGCGCGGGGCGCCAAGGCCTCGCAGGCGGCGACGAAGGCGGAGTCCCGGGCGGGCCGGGGAGGCGCGCGGGAAGCCCCCCCCCTCCACCGGCCAGCCAGGGTAAACAAGGCCTCGACTCACCCCGCGCACTTACCGGGAGCCGCGGCCCCACGGCCGCAGAGCCCTGGCGGGCCAGACCAAGTCAGGCCGGACCAAAGGAGCCGGATTAGGGCTCAGCGTCGACGAAGGCAGCGGGAGGACGCCGGTCGGGTCCGCGCTGCTTCCTCCGGCGTAGTCGTCCCCGAAGCTCCGGAAGTTCTCGGTACACTTGCGTCACTTCCGGTAGGGGTCGGCCCGCGGTCGCTTGGGTCGCTACTGGCAAGAACACTCTTTGGAGCTGCTTTCTTGCTAGCCGGTGTTCAGACTCAATCTCGCCAGAATACTGCTTATGAACGGATGGTCCAGGCATCTTTTCCCGCATTCACCTACCAACTCCTCCAGTCGAAATATTTTTTAACCCTTACTTTTGTGATGGGCTTCTCTTCATTGTTGATACTGGGATCTAGCCACTGAAAAGACATCCAGGAGTCCATGGAGTGAATAAAGTGTCATGGTTTCCCAGAAACTATCTGATCCGAGGGGAGCCGGACCGGAGATTTCTACCTACCCTTGGCGCAAGTCGCTAGGTAGCTGGCGAGCCTTCAGAAAACGCCAGGCTTTGGCTTTCCTGCCACAGTCTGGTTCGCCTTCCAGCTCTCCGACTTTCACTCACCGTGCAAGATTATATCTCAACTGCTTTGCTCCACCATTTCTGCTCACAGCATGAGAACTGCCATTAGGGGCTGGGGACATGGCTCAATTTGCGCAGCGCCTGCCTAGCAAGCACAAGGCCCTGAGTTCAAACTCCAGTACCACCAAAAAAAAAAAAAAGTGATTAGAACGTCTAGGACTCATAGCTAAGTCTTGAGGATAGATAAGACAAAGACTCACTCAAGTTGCTGCTGCACCGCAGTGGAAATACCAGAGTGAAGCCAGTGACGTCAAGAAGTTTCTGGCTGTTCAATTCCATAGAGAACAACCCAACCTATTTCTACCCATACTCAAGTTAAGTATATACAGATATTCGAGACACTTATGCGTAACGGGCTATCTTATGTAGCTCTTGCAAGAAATACATGATTTTTAGCTTCCAATTTAATTCAGATCATGTACCTAAACCAGGTGTAATCAAATACTAAAAAAAATGCCAAGTTATCTTGGAGTGGAAATTAATAGTAATGACAAACATAACCTTAGAACTTTTGTACATTAACAACACAAAAGTCTACTATAATCCAGTCTACTTGTTTCATTTGTTTTGACAAAAACATAACCATGTAAATTATGATAATATTAACAAAGAACCCAAGATATACTTTCTGCAAATGAAAACTCAGCTCTCACTTTTGAGTTACTGGTAATAAACCCACTCCAGGGGTTTTTACAGAAAGCAGTCTTTCTGTAAAATTCTTGCGCTTGCAAAATACAGAATGAGGATGCTCACATATCAAGTGTATGCATGACAGAGTATTGAAACCCTAAATAGAATCGTCCCATAGAATCCAGGGGAAGAGAGTTGAAATTGGTTCCAGGAACCCATACCAAAATCCAAGGTTCCATCAAGTCCTTTACATAAAATGGTATAGTATTTGCCTATAACCCATACACATCCCCCCATTTATATTTTTTTGGAGGGAATGGTACTGAAGATTGAACTCAGGGCCCTGAACTTGCTAGGCAGGTGCTCTACCACTTCAGCCATGCCTCCAGCCTCATATTCTTTAAATCATGTCTGGATTACTTATAATAATTCAATGTAAATGCCACATAAATAGTTGTTACATTGTAATGTTTAGCAAAATAAGAAAAGTAGAACTTTTCCAAATATTCTTGGTCTGCAGTGGTCTGAGTCAGATGTGGAAATAAAGGAAATGGAGGGCCAACGGTATTATTCTTTATTCATCTGTCTTTCTACTACTGAAGGTGAGATTTTTTTTTAATAGCACAGATATGACCTCGTTTTCAGTATTACTCTATAATATTTGGGCTGATGATAACATTATTTTTAACTACTAGCAGTATCTGCCTAAGAAATTAGTATTTAAAATTAAGCCAAAAATTAAGGATATGTATAAAATATATGTTTTGGAACATTAGTACTAGTAGAAAAAGTTTGCAACATCCCAAATGTCCCAAAATAAGCGGCTGGAGATGTGGCTTAAGCAGTAGAGCACTTGCCTAAGCAAGCAGGAAGCCGTGAATTCAAATCCCAGTACCACCAGAAAAAAATCTCGCAATGAAGAAAGTCATTCAAAATTATATTATTCTGTGGGCTGGGATGTAGCTCGGTGGTACAGCGCTTGCCAAGCATGCACGAGGCCTTGGGTTCGATCCCATCACCAAAAAAAAAGAAGACAAAATTATGTTATTCTGGGCTGGCAGTATAGCTGAAGATGTTGAATATGTGCTTAACATATGTGAGACCCAGGGTTCAATTCTCAGCACCACCAAAAAAAGAAAATTTTGCTGTTTTAAGGCATCTATTGACAAAGATGTTTATGAAATAGTCTTAAGTGATATGAATACCATCTGAAACCATATGTATAATTTTCCTTTTTCAAAATAAAAGCATCTATAAAATAAGTAAGCATAAATATAAGGTCTCTCATAGTTTCTTTTGAACAGGAATCCAAAGGCTTAGTAGGAATGAATTATCTCTACCATGTCTGAAGCATCAGATAGAAGACTGTGAAATTCTGGGAACTATAGTCATAGGAAGAGTTGTTTACACCTACATCTACTGATTGATGGTGGCTGTCAGTAGGGGAAGTCACTGGGGCTGTCAGCCAGAGCATGCATGATATAGCCTTTCCATGTGGCCTCTGCTTGGATCCAAGGGCAAGTGTCATAACAGAGAAAGCCAGTGAAAGCTATATTGCTCTTATGACCCAGCCTTCAAAGTCACACAGCATTATTTCTATCACATTATATTGGTTGAAGCCATTACAAAAGTCCCTTCAGGTTCAAGGGGGAGGAAATGCAGCCCTACCCTCAACAGAAGAACACCAACATCACTTGGTAAGAAAAGCATGCGTGAATGACGTATATGTTTTTGAGACCATCTTCGGAAACTACAACCTGTCACACAGCACATAGTGCAGACATGTATTTATTTCTTATTTATTTTTACTTTTATTGATTTTAATTATATAATATATATTTTTTATCTTTTTAATTTTTATTTTATATTTTTTATCTTGCTCATTTTTACTTTTATTGATTTGAATTATACAACTAATATACACTAATACATGAAGTTGTAAAAAATTAAAACAATACAAAATTACTGATAGCAGCATGTGACTATTTCCATTAACTCACTCCAACTCTTTCCCTAACCAGAGTTGTATCCAGAGTTTGTTGTACATTCTTCGAGGAAACTTTCTTGTGTATCTATCTATTTATCTGTCTTTACAGTTATGCATACACACATCTCACAAACCTGTTTAAAAAAATTACAGATGCTGGCCATGGTGGCTCACACTGTAATCCCATCCAACTAGGAGGCAGAGATTGCGAGGATCATAGTTCAAGGCCAGCATGGGCAAAAAGTTAGCAAGACCTATCTAAGCAAACTAGGCATGGTAGTGTATGTCTCTAATTCCTGCTATAAGAAATCACAATCCAGGCTAGCTCAGGAAACACATGGGACCCTATCTAAAAAATAACTAAAGCAAAAAAGGGATGGGGATGTGGCTCAAGTGGTAGAACACTTGCTTAGCAAGCACAAGGCCCTGAATTCAAACCCCAGTACTACACACACACATACACAAAGTGTCATTGGTTCTTTTGGCTTGGCTAAAGTCTAGGCACCATCTCAGTAGGTATAATGGAGAGGGGCTGGGGGCATGGCTCATGTCTGACAAGCTTCTAAGTGTCACTGACAGTTTAAAATTCTTTAATTTGCTGGATGCTGGTGGCTCACGCCTGTAACCCCAGCTACTCAGGAGGCACAGATCAGGAGGATAATGGTTCCAAGCCAGTCAGGACAAGTAGTTTGAGAGACCCTATCTTGAAAATACCCAACACAAAAAAAGTACTGATGGAACGGTTCAAGTGGTAGAGTCCCTGCCTATCAAGTGTGAGGGCCTGAGTTCAAACCCCAGTACCACCAAAAAAAAAAAGGAAAAGAAAAGAAAAGAAAATTCCTTGGCTTCATCCAGCATCTGGCTCCTTTGTTCCTTGTCTCTTTTTCTCTTTGTTGCCTCTAAAACTTTTTGTTTTTAGATACAGGGTCTCACTATATAGCCCAGGCTGAATTCAAATTCACAATCCTCCTGCCATAGTCTCCTGAGTGCTGGGATTACAGGCATGAACCACCATACCTGGCTTGAAACTTTTTCTTGTTTGGAGGTAGTGGGGTTTGAACCCAGGCTTCATGCTTGCTACACAGGTGCTTTACCACTTGAGCCATTCCGCCATCCCTGTGTTGGATATTTTCAAGATAGAGTCTCACAAACTATTTGCCTGGGCTGGCTTCCAACTGCAATCCTTCTGATCTCTGCCTCCTGAGTAGTTAAAATTATAGGCATGATCTACCTGGGAGTCAGGTTTAAAATCTTTAATAGTTCCTTTTGGTTTGGATGCTCCTCTGTCCTTGCCTGCCCTTTTCCCAAATGTAGTCTTCTGGAGTCACATATATTTCTTAGGCAGAAACCTTCCTGGCTTCTGTCTCTAGCTTTCTGTTCTCCTGATTCCCAGGAAGTATACCTGACACCAGCCAGGCATGTCCCCAGATGTGCCATGGGCACTATGAATACAATGTGTCTGAAACTAACAGCTGCTGTAGTTTTCCTCATATTGACTCTAGGCTTTCTTTTTTTCTGACCATTTATGCCCCTTGCCTCAGTTCATGCCTTCACTGCCCCTGACCTGGACTGATATTATTTCCTGTTAACCAGTTTTGCTGCTCCCAGTTTCTCTCCACACAAATCCAACCATCCAAAATAGAAAATCTGATTATGTCACTATTGTGCTTAAAATTCTCCCACAGTTCTTCGTCATTTCCTAAGAAAATAGTCAGGTTTTGGTCCTTGTCCTAGACTCATTTTACTCTACAATAAGCCTTTGGGATCAGTGAGGCCCAGTCACTCCCTGAGTCTAGTGTTGTTCCTCTTACTCATCTTTCCACCCACTACACATGGTCCTGACCCATCAGCCACATTGGTGCTCTTTAGCGGTTCTAGGGTATGTATCACACTCCATGGTTCTGCTATTTTCCGGGTTAATTCCTTTCCTTTTTTTTTTTTTTTCCCCTTGTTGGTCCTTTCTCATCTTCTTTATTTCCTAACACTCCCTTGGTGATTTAATTTGGCTGATGACTTCCAAATTTCACCACCATCCTGAGCCCTTCCTCTGAATGTCAGACTGACAGATAAACCTACCTAATACAAATCTCAAACTAATCATGTCCAAAATGGCCTTTCTTCTCCCCTTGTCTCCCCCTCCCCCAATTTCTCCCTTACTCCAATTAAAGGTGAGGCTCTTCTCAGGTGCTGGTGGCCTATAATCCTAGCTATTCAGAGATCAGGAGGATCTCAGTTCCAAGCCAGCCCAGGCAAACAGTTCTGCGAGACCCTATCTCAAATAAACCCTTCACAAAAAAGGGCTGGTGGAGTGACTTAAGGTGTAGGCCCTGAGTTCAAGCCCCAGTACTGGAAAAAAAAAAAAAAAAAGGTGAGGCCTCTCTGTAACTATTGCCATCATCCTTTAACCTTTCTCTCATAAACCTTATTTTTATTCATTAACAATTCCTTTGGGCTTTCCTTTATATACAGAATCTGACTACTTCTTTTTGTTTTTGTTTTGTTTTTTTAAGACAGGATCTTGCTACATAGACAGGATCACGCTATCCTCAAATTCAACTATCCTCCCGTCCCAGCCTCCTGAGTGCTGGGATTACAGGTGTGTACCATCACACCCAGCAGAGAATCTGACCACTCTCACTATCTCCTCTGTTATGGCCTGGTGTAAGCCAACATTCCTGGCCATGACTTTTAACCTCTTTGTTTCTTCCTTGTACCTTACAGTCTATTTTCACCAGCATTAAAGGGGGATTCTGTTAACTCAAAGAATGTTGCTCCCCTGCTCAAACCCTGCAATTGTTCCCATATCCTATAGAGGAGAGGATGTGGTCCTTACAGTGACACAGAAAGTCCCTCTTGATATGTCTCCATTACCTCTCTGCCTTCCTCAGCTATTCTCCCTCTCTCTCTCTCTCTCTCTCTCTGTCTCTCCTCTCCCTCCTCTCTCTCTCTCCAGTACTGGAGATTTAAGCAAAGGGCTTCACACTTGCTAGACTTCCTAGGCAGGCACTCTAGCACTTAAGCCACACCACCAGCCTTGTTTTTGGGTTTGGTATTTTCAATATAGGGTCTCTTGAACTATTTTGCCTAGGCTAGCCTAGAGCCGCTATCCTTCCGTTCTTTGCCTCCCAAGTAGTTAGTATTACAGGTGTGAGCTACCAGCTCCCGAATGCATTTTTCTTTTATCTTTGTTTTGCCTGTTAAATTCCATGAAGATAGTCACCTGTGTGCTGTGCTCCTGACTGTGCCTACGGTGCCCTGACACATCGCAGGATAAAAATCAACCTCTGTGGAGTGAGTGGATGAATGGGAGTTCAGTAGCCCAGACAAACATTTAAGTCCAGGAAGACTTCCTGGAGGAATAAATCCTCCGGCAGGCTCTCCCCAACCCCGCCCGTACTGCGTTTAGCTAGCCACGCCCATCGAGGCGGGGCCGCGGCCGGAAGCAGCCCGGGCGGAAGCTCGGCTCGGCCGACTGGGCCCTCCTACAGACCTGCCCCAGACTCATGCCCCGCCCATCCTAAAGTAGGCGAAAGGTCGGCGGGGCCGGCTTGCTGCTGGGGCACCGGAGCAAGACCGCCGGGAACTGACAGGCAGACAGGCATCCAGTCAGACTACTGACCATGGCAAACGAGTCGAAGCCCATCAGCCCGCTCAAGAACCTGCTGGCCGGCGGCTTTGGCGGCGTGTGTCTGGTGTTCGTGGGGCACCCTCTGGACACAGTCAAGGTACGCTGGGGTGCAAGCTTGGGGAAGAGGCCAAGTGGGGCGCCGGAGGCAGGGTCCCCTGCGAGGCGTGGACCCTGGACAGAAGTGGGATCCATAGAAGGTTCTGTGAGAAGTCGAGAGGAGTGGGGATGTAGCTCAGTGTTAGAGCGTTCACCTAGCTTGAATGAGGGCCGGGATTCCATCCCCCAGCACTGCAAAAGGACAAAAAAATAATAATAATAAAATAAATCTAGAGAATCATTGTTTCAGGATTGGGGGGAAACTTGTTATCTTGCGCACCAAAGAGCCAGACGGTGCAAAGTGAGCAGCCTCAAACCATCTTATCAAGAGCTCCTGTTTTAAAGTCTCTGTTCCACAGTTTCTTTTGACCCTGTGCCATTTCTTTGGGATGGGAAAAAGAGAAACCATTCCCTCAAAGCTCTTATTGCAGCCACCCTAACATTTTATCATAAAGATCCACTGTAAAACTTTCCCCAAGAAAACAACTAGAGATGTCAGAGTTGTCCTTTGACACACTCCCCTGAGACCAGAGTTCCTCCTTGCCTCTCTTGCACCTTTACCTGCCCTAGAAGGCACTAGGCCATTGTCACCCTGTCACCCTATGGTAGTTTGCATAGCCTAATGAGAAGAAGTATCTCCCTGGGAAGCAATGATGTCCTCAGTGACTAAGCAGATGACCAGCTTTATGGAGGGCCAGGTTGATCCTCACAACTCCCAGGTGAGGAAGCTAGTGTCAAACCAAGGCTCTGGGAGAGAAGAAACCCCTGAGCTTTCTCACATCACTCCTTAACTCTCCCCCTTGCAACACTTTCAGCAAGGCCTTGCTGGAAACCAAAGTCCATATCAAATGCAAACTGACTTTGCATTTGAAACATCATTATAGTTTTCTCACCTTTTTTTTTTTTTTTTTTCTGGATACAGACTTGAAGGCAAATCACAGGTCATGGCCAGGGTAGGCCTATGGACAGAAAACATGAATCTTACAGGATAGGAAGCCTATATGGGGGGCATGTTAGGATGTTGGATCTAGTATCCTCCACAGGAAAATAGGTTCATAGGCCCTTTCTCTTGGCAGTTATGGGCAATAGGTTCTTTCATGGCTTTTAATCAAGACAGAAGCTGCCCTGAAGTAGCACTTAGAACTTAGATTGTTCCTAGGAACAATTGTCTAGACTCTATTGCTACCTTTGATTCATAGAGGCAGAGAGTTAGTTCTCAGCATCTAGGGCTTTTTAAAAAAACAAACCTCCCTAATTTGCTGTCTTATATGAATGCTGCTCCTACCTCCATATTCTCTTGTCCTTGATAATTACTCCCAAGAAGGGCCCAGTGACCTCTGTACTGAATTATAAATGACTCATTGGCATTTTGACAATCAGAAAGTCTCTTTTTAGTATAAACCAACAGCATAGATTGCTGACTGCTGTCCTTTTGACCTCAGAGAGCTAGGTGGGCCCAACTAAAGCCTGACCTTGAAGGTACTTTCAAAGATTCAAAGCAACAGAGCTGTGACCCATCAGTTCTAATGAGCCAAGATTGCAACACTTCAGAATTGGAACCTGGAAAAAAATCTTATGGAAGGTGATATCAGACAGGCATTGAAGGGCTGTCTGGGGAAGACCCAGACAATCTGGCATGTAGAGAGGTCTTAGTCTATTTTGTGCTGCTATAACAGAATGCCTGAGACTAGTGGTTTATGAAGAACAGAGATTTACTTCTTACAGATCTGGAGGCTGGAAAGTCCAAGATCCAGGGGCCCATATCTGATATCTGGTCCAGGTCATCATGCTGTGTCATCCTATGGTGGAAGATAGAAGGGCAAGAGAGAAAGAAATCAAGCTTAAGTCTCTGAACTAAAAAGCATGGCCCAAGTGGTAGAGCATCTGCCTGTCAAGTGCAAGGCCCCGATTTCAAAACCCCAAACCCAAAGGGGAAAAAACCCCAAAAATTTAAGTCCCACGCATTTTTATAGTTTGCCTTAATCCATTGGGATTGTTAAGTTTTTACTTTTTTTTTTCTGTATGAAGGGAAACTGAGGGGATTAAGGTTTTTAACAAATGTGTTTTAGCAGGAGTGAAGATAAGTGTGGGCTTGCAAGTGGGGGGATCAGAATATAAAATAAGACCAGCTGAGGAGGACTTTCATGTTCTTATTGGTTGGGATGACTGATGATGTCATGGTGATGATACTGGAGTGCTGTTCCCAAGTTCGTATCCTGGTGTAGTTGATGATTAAAGACTCCAGACTAGGAGTTAAGAGTTAAAGCAGCACAAAGTTTAGTGAAAGGATAGCAAAGCATCCTGATGAGTGGGACTTAGTGAAAAAGCTAAGCCAAGGAAAGACTGAAGTCTAGGAGATGATAGAGGGTGTTAACTGGCTTAGGTCCAAGTATTCTACTTTGAAGCTGCATCTATAATTAGCTATCTAATTAACTTCTTGCTGAACCTGATCATCTGGCTGCCCCCCGACCCCTGCCCAATCCTTATTGGACTGGACATTCCAAGAGGGTCTCGTCAGTCCATCGGATCTATTACATATATTTCATGACTACTGCTTGTTATTTTGGTAAGACTCCCCCTCCCCGCTTTTGCTATCTTTCTGTAAGGAGTCTATTTTTTTCATCTTTTTAGATGGTTGTCTTTAGAAATGTTTCTTTGTCTTTCTCACCTAAGACAAAGTTACTTTTGCCATCTGTTCCCTTTACATTTCCAGGTTCATTTTTACAGTGCATTCCCAGAGCCATTTCTTCGGTTTATTCCCCTGTCACGTTTGCTCCCCTCACAATGAGACAGGTGTAAGATTCATAAAGAAATCATGAAAAGGTATCTGGGCATGGTGGTACTTGCCTGTAATCCAGCACTCAGGAGACTAAGGCAAGAAGATTGCAAGTTTGAGCCAGGTGCCAGTGGCTCACACCTGTAATCCTAGCTACTCAGGAGGCAGAGATCAGGAGGATGGTGGTTCAAAGTCAGACCCAGGCAAATAATTCATAAGACCCTATCTTGAAAAAAACCTTCACAAAAAGGGCTGATGGAGTAGCTCAAGGCATGGGCCCTGAGTTCAAGCCCCAGTAATGGAAAAAAAAAAAAAGGATTACGAGTTTAAAGCCAACCTAGCTACATAGTGGTGAGACCCTGTCTCAGAAGACAAACACAAAAAGGTATTAGTCACAATTTGTTTGTTTTGTTTTGTTTGGTGGTGTTATGATAAGGTTTCTCATGCATGCTAGGCAGTACTCTACCACTGAGCTACATCCCCAGTCTAAGTCAGAAGTTTTGTCCACTTTTCTCCCCCTGCTAGCTAGGGGAAACTGTGCTTAACCATGGAGGATATGAGGGAGAATATAAGGGATTTTGAATGTAAAGTAGTGGTAGCCTCTGGACATTTCTATTGTTGTCCTATAAGCCCCACAGACCTGCATGTCACCTCTATTGCCTAGAGAATGACTTCCTTACTATGGCATATGACCTTAACATACAACAATGAAAAATTTCTAAAGAATAGAGGAGGAACATGCTGAAAATGGTGTTTTGGAAAGATTAGTATGATGGCTGGCTTTGGAAGGATTTGAAGCAGAAAAACAATGAGCAGGAAAAATATCCAGGAAAAAGACTACAGAACTAACTTGGTATATCAGTTACCTGTTGCAATATAACAGTTCAGTGTGTTAAAACAGTAATCATTCATTAATTCTCACAATCTTTGTGAGCTAGGTTTTGGGGAGGAACTTGGGTGTGTGGTCTGGTTCTGGGTCTTTCATGACACTGTAGTTAAGACATTGTCTGGCATCTAGAATATATAAAGAATACTTAAAGTTCAATAACAAATGACAAATAATTTAATTAAAAGTAGGCAAAGGATCTAAATAGGCCTTTCTATACAAATGGTCCATGAGCACATTAAATGTTTAAAATCATTATCCATCACAGAAATGCAAATCAAAATCACAATGAAATGCCACTTCACATCCATTATGGTGACTATAATTTAAGAAAAGATAATAAAAGTGTTGATGAAATAGTAGAGAAATTGGAACTCTTGTACACTGGTGAAGGGACTATAGATGGTGAAGCTACTGTGGAATATATCTTGGCATTTCCTCAAATAGTTAACGTAGCTTTTTAGGGAGGCGGTGGTACTAGGATTTGAACTCAGGATTTTGTACTTCTAGTAGATTCTCTACTGCTTGAACCACACCTGTTGCCTCCTCAAATGATTAAATTGGGGCTAGATCAGTAATAGAGGGTGTGCTCAGCATGTGTGAGGCCCCGGGTTCAATCCCCTGGAAAAAAATGAAGGTTAAATAGAGTTGACATATGATCCAGATATTCCATTTACAGATAAATACCTATAACTATGTATCAACTTCACTGGGTCTTATGGTACCCAGCTACTTGGCCAGATATTATTCTGGGTGTGCCTTTGAGAATGTTTTGTATATTAACACTTAAATCAGTAGACTAAGTAAAGCAGACTGTTTTCTCCAATGTAGGTGGGACTGATCAAATCCATTGCAGACCTGCATAGAACAAAAGGCTGATTTACCTTGGTGTTAGCGGGAACGATTCCTGCCTGTCTGCTTGAACTGAGACATCAGTCCATGCTTCTAGACTCAGACTGAAATATTGGCTCATCTTGGGTCTGTAGCCTGCCAACTGCTGGTCTTAGGATTTCTCAACCTCCATATTCACATGAACCAATTCCTTATTTAAAATATATATCTCCTATTGGTTAAGTTTCTCTGGAGAATACTTCATCATCAATTGATGAAAGATATACAAAATGGGGTATTATTTGCCAATAAAAAGGAATGAAGGGGCTAGGAGCCAAGGAATCCAGGGTGATGCCTTGATTTTTGCAGGGCGCCGGTGGCTCATGCCTGTAATCCTAGCTACTCACGCCTGTGATCCTAGCTACTCACGAGGCAGAAATCAGGAGGATTGTGGTTCGAAGACTGCCTGGGTAAATAGAGCCATGAGACCCTATCTCAAAAAAGACACTTCAGAAAAAAGGGCTGGTGGAGTGGCTCAAAGTATAGGCCCGGTCAAGCCCAAGTTCCGCAAAAAAAAAAAAAAAAAAAAAAAAAAAAAGAATGACGTACTAATGAAGTAAAAGAGAAGTCTCAGTCTATACAAGGTTAAGGGCATGTTGAAGACGTCTACATAGGTACAGATTTCCCTATGCAGGTTTACAGATAGTTGGACCATTGCTGTTGACAAACACTGCTGATTCTGGAAAGTAATTATTTTGACTTTTGGTTTTAGGTCCGACTCCAAACACAACCACCAAGTTTGCCTGGACAGCCTCCCATGTACTCTGGAACCATTGACTGTTTCCGGAAGACTCTTGTTAGAGAGGTATGGTATATGGTACTAGGCATTCCTTACTCAAAGAAACACATTCAGGAGTTTGATTTTTTTTTTTTTTTTGTGGGACTGGGGTTTAAACATAGGGCTTCTTCACACTGGCAAATCAAGGGCTCTATACCTTGAGCCACACTTCCAGTCCCTTTTGCTCTGGTTATTTTGGAGATGGAATCTCACAAAGTATTTACACAGGCTGGCCTCAAACTAGAATCCTCCTAATCTCAGCCCAAGTAGTTAGGATTATAGGCATAAGCCAGTGGTACCTGGCTCCAGAGGTTTGATTTGTTAAAACCCCAATCTTCAGAAGCTAGGATAACTTTGTGTGATTCTGCTAGAGGTCTAGCCCACAGTTGCAGCTCCCTTACCATACCATCCTTTGTCCTCCTACTGTCATCTGCTCTGCTCTGAAATCGTTGATAATTCCAGCTTGTTTTACTACATATATATATATATATATATATATATATATATATATAGACACACACACGTGTGTGTGTGTCTGTGTGTCTGTGTGTATTTTTTTTTTCATTCATTCATTCTGAGACTTGGTATATTGTATGCTAGGCAAGCACTCTACTACTTTACCCCTGGAGCTATGCCCCTAGTCCTTTTGCTTTTTTTTCAAGTTTGGTTTTTAGATAGTGCCTTGTACATTTGCCAGGGCTGGCCTTGAACTTCTGTCCTCCTATCTCTGCCTCCCAAGTAACTGGGAGAGCAGGTATGAGTTACCATGCCTGGAAACCCAATCCTCCTAAGTGAGATGGTTTTGCCCTTTTTCTTGCTCTTCCTCCTCCTTCTTCTTATTTTTTGGTGGTACTGGGGTTTGAATTCAGGGCCTCATACTTGCTAGACAGATGTTCTACCACTTGAGCCACACCCACAGCCCTGCCCTTTCTTCTTTGGGGCCCTCTTTCTTATATCTCTGGTGCCCAGGGTAAAATCTGATCAGTGTCTGATGGAGGCTTTTAGACTTTAGGTCTTCTCAAAGTCCTCTGCTCTTAAGGAAGAGAGGTTAACAAATGTTATTGAGCACCTAGCTAAGGACTGGGTAGTATACTGGATTTTGGAGAGAATGGCTTGTATAAACCCAACTCCTAAGGTGGGTGCAGTGGCATGTACCTATATTCCTAGGTTCTTGGAAAGCCGAAACAAAAGGTTTGCTTAAGCCTAGGAGTTCAGGACTAGCCTAAGCAACATAGTGAGATTCCGTCTCCAAATCAAAACAACAACAAAAAGAAAACTTAATTCCTTGCAGAATTTAGTAGACTTCCATATTTGTGCATGTCTCTGTTTTTTGCTATGCTAGACTGAGTTGTTTTCTAGAGATGCCAGGCAAGGGTCTAGGTTATACTATGTGAGGGTGCGCGAGCCATTTGTGTGGCAGGAAGACTAAATGCATGCTAGGAGTGTGACTTCTCAGGACCTGTGCATCCTTCTCAACCTACACAGAGAGCTGTGAGAGAGGCTCAGACAGGACTTTTACACTCTTAGATCTTTGTCCTTTTCCTGTTTACTGCCTGTGTACTCAGGGCCTCACTAGCCAGGTACTTTACCAGTTGAACCACTCCACCATCTCTTTTTTGTGTTGAGTATTTTTGAGATATGGTCTTGTGAACTGTTTGTGGGGGGTTGACTTTGAACCACTATCCTCCTGATCTCTGCCTCCTGATAGCTAGGATTATAGGCGTCTTCTCAGGACCTGTGCATCCTTCTCAGCCTACACAGAGAGCTGTGAGAGAGGCTCAGACAGGACTTTTACACTCTTAGATCTTTGTCCTTTTCCTGTTTACTGCCTGTGTACTCAGGGCCTCACTAGCCAGGTACTTTACCAGTTGAACCACTCCACCATCTCTTTTTTGTGTTGAGTATTTTTGAGATATGGTCTTGTGAACTGTTTGTGGGGGGTTGACTTTGAACCACTATCCTCCTGATCTCTGCCTCCTGAGTAGCTAGGATTATAGGCGTGATAACTGGGCCTGGCTGTATTTTTTCCCCACCCCCAACTATATTTTTTTGCCATAGGATCTCACTAACTTTGCCTCCACTTCCCAACTAGCTGCATTTATAGGTATGCATCATCATGCCCAGCTAACTTTTTTGTATGTTTTCAAAATTATTTCTTATTTTTTTATTAAAGTGATATAGGCATTTAGTTCCTTACTGAAAGACTTATAGTAAATTAACAAAGTGATCTTTATTCCCTCCTTTTATTCTCCAGAGGCAACTACTTCTAGCTCTGTTAGTAATTAGTGATATTTCTACCTATCAGCATAATACACATTTACTACTATATTTTATACATATACTTCTTAATATTTTTTAAATACTTGTCGTGGTAGATTACTCTAACTCTTACACTCCCTATCCCCTCTTTTTGTCCTGCCTATCAATGGAATTTTTTTTCCTGTATTGTAATTTTTATTTATATATTTTTTTATTTTTTTATTTTATTATTCATATGTGCATACAAGGCTTGGGTCATTTCTCCCCCCTGCCCCCACCCCCTCCCTTACCACCCACTCTGCCCCTCCCTCTCCCCCCCCCTCAATACCCAGCAGAAACTATTTTGCCCTTATTTCTAATTTTGTTGTAGAGAGAGTATAAGCAATAATAGGAAGGAACAAGGGTTTTTGCTGGTTGAGATAAGGATATATACAGGGAGTTGACTGCATGATTTTTCCCTGTGGTGGTGTGTTAACTTCTAGTGTTCTGTCATTTGATCTAGCCTTTTCTGTAGTTTGTGGTCTCTCTTTTCCTATTGCTCTCAGTTGCGCTTTTAAGGTTCATGCGTGTAGTTTCTCGGCATTAAGGGCACAAAATGGCAGCAATTTTTTTAAGTGTGTCTTACCTATTCCTCAGCGTCGTCCTTGTGTGCTCTCGCTTTTTCATGTGTCAAAGTCCAATCCCGTTGTTGTTGGTTTGCCCTTGATCTAATGTCCACATATGAGGGAGAATCATTACGATTTTTGGTCTTTTGGGCCAGGCTAACCTCATCAGAATGATGTTCTCCAATTCCATCCATTTACCAGCGAAGTGATAACATTTCATTCTTCTTCATGGCTGCATAAATTCCATTGTGTATAGATACCACTTTTTAATCCATTCATCAGTGTGGGGCATCTTGGCTGTTTCCATACTTGGCTATTGTGAATAGTGTGCCGCAATAAACATGGGTGTGCAGGTGCCTCTGGAGTAACCTGTGTCACAGTCTTTTGGGTATATCCCAAGAGTGGTATTGCTGGATCAAATGGTAGATCAATGTTAGCTTTTTAAGGTAGCTCCAAATTTTTCCAGAGTGGTTGTACTAGTTTACATTCCCACCAAACAGTGTAAGAGGGTTCCTTTTTCCCCATCCTCGCCAACACCTTTGTTGGTGGTGGTGTTGCTAATGATGGCTATTCTAACAGGGTGAGGTGGAATCTTAGTGTGGTTTTAATTTGCATTTCCTTTATTGCTAGAGATGGTGAGCATTTTTTCATGTGTTTTTTGGCCATTTGAATTTCTTCTTTTGAGAAAGTTCTGTTTAGTTCACTTGCCCATTTCTTTATTGGTTCATTAGTTTTGGGAGAATTTAGTTTTTTAAGTTCCCTATATTCTGGTTATCAGTCCTTTGTCTGATGTGTAGCTGGCAAATATTTTCTCCCACTCTGTGGGTGTTCTTCTTTTAGAGACCATTTCTTTTGTGAGCAGAAGCTTTTTAGTTTTATGAGTCCCATTTATCTATGCTATTCTTAGTTGCTGTGCTGCTGGGGTTCCATTGAGAAAGTTCTTACCTATACCTATAACTTCCAGAGTATTTCCTACTCTTTCCTGTACAACTTTAGAGTTTGGGTCTGATATTAAGATCCTTGATCCATTTTGAGTTAATCTTGGTATAGGGTGATATACATGGATCTAGTTTCAGTTTTTTGCAGACTGCTAACCAGTTTTCCCAGCAGTTTTTGTTGAAGAGGCTGCTTTTCTCCATCGTATATTTTTAGCTCCTTTGTCAAAGACAAGTTGGTTATAGTTGTGTGGCTTCATATCTGGGTCCTCTATTCTGTTCCACTGGTCTTCATGTCTGTTTTTGTGCCAGTACCATGCTGTTTTTTTGTTATTGCTTTGTAATATAGTTTGAAGTCAGGTATTGTGATACTCCAGCATTGTTCTTTTGACTGAGTATTGCCTTGGCTTCTTGTGGCCTCTTGTGTTTCCATATAAATTTAGGTAGATTTTTCAATCTCTTTAATGAATGTCATTGGAATTTTGATGGGAATTGCATTAAACATGTAGATTACTTTTGGGAGTATAGACATTTTTACTATTGTTGATTCTACCAATCCTGAGCATGGGAGATCTCTCCACTTCTATAGTCTTCCTCAATCTCTTTCTTCAGAAGTTTATAGTTTTCCTTGTAGAGGTCATTCACATCCTTTTGTTAGTTTACCCTAGGTATTTGATTTTTTTGAGCTATTGTAAATGGAATTGTTTTCATAATTCTTTTTTCAGTTTGTCATTGTTAGTGTATAAATGCTAATGATTTTTCTATGTTGATTTTATATCCTGCTACCTTGCTATAGCATTGATGATGTCTAGAAGCTTCTGAGTAGAGTTTTTTGGGTCTTTAAGGTATAGGATCATGTCTGCAAATAGGGATATTTTGACAGTTTCTTTACCTATTTGTATTCCTTTTATTCCTTCTTCTTGCCTAATTGCTCTGGCTAGGAATTCCAGTACTATGTTGAATAGGAGTGGAGATAGTGGGCATCCTTGTCTGGTTCCTGATTTTAGAGGAATGGTTTCAGTTTTTCTCCAGTTAAGTATAATGCTGGCTGTAGGTTTGTCATATATAGCTTTTATAATGTTGAGGTGTAACTTCTTCTATTCCTAGTTTCTTAGAGCTTTTATCATGAATGTGTTGGATTCTTATAAGGCTTTTTCTGCATCTATGAGATGACAAGTGGTTTTGTCTTTGCTTCTGTTAATGTGGTTTATTAAGTGTATTGAATTTTCATATGTTAACCACCCGCTGCATCCTGGGATGAAGCTACTTGGTTGTGTGTGATCTTTTTGATGTGTTTGATTCGGTTTGCCATTATTTTATGTGAGGATTGTTTGATCAATGTTCATTAAGGAGATTGGCTATAGTTTCCTTTTTGGAGTGTCTTTGCCTGGTTTTGGGATAAGTTGTAATACTGGCTTCATAAAATGTGTTGCCATTTTCCTTCCCTTCTATTTCATGGGAACAGTTTAAGGAGGGTTGGTATCAGTTCTTCTTTAAAGGTCTGATAGAATTCAGCAGAGAATCCATCAGGTCCTGGACTTTTCTTTTTTGGGGAGACTCTTGATTGCTGCTTCAATTTCATTTTGTGTTAAGATCTATTTCAGGTGATTAATATTCCTCTTGGTTCAGTTTTGGGATGATCATATGTATCTAGAATCTGTCCATTTTTTAAGATTTTTCAAAATTTATTTGAATATAGGTTCTCAAAGTAGTCTCTGATGATTTCTGGACTTCCATGGTTTTGTTGTATCTTCCCCTTTTGCATTCCTGATTCTTACTGATTTGGGTTTTTTCTTCTCCTCATTTTAGTCAGGTTTGCCAGGGGTTATCGATCTTGTTTTTTTTCAAAGAACAACTTTTTGTTTCATTAATCTTTGTGGGTTTTTTGGTTTCCTATTTCATTGATTTCAGCTCTTTATTTTTATTATTTCTCTCCTTCTATTTGTTTTGGGATTTGCTTGTTCTTGTTTTCTAGAGTTTGAGAGTGTATCAATGTAGGTCTATTGGATTTGGGATCTGTTAGTGTTTTAGATATTATTTCACTCACTATCGAATGATTAATTTTGTATCCTTTTTTTATTTTTTAGTGCTGGAGATTAAACCCAGGGCTTCATGTATGCTAAGCACTCTCTACCACTGAGTTACCTTCAGCCTCAATTTATTATTTTCAGTTTGTAACTTTATATAAAGTTATAATTACATATATATATGTATGGTTTTTTTGGGGAGGCAGTGCTGGATTTTGAACTCAGGGTCTCAACGTCTTGCTAGGGCAGTGTGCTTTGAAAACCACTTGAAGCACTATCTCATGCCCTGGGATCTTTCTGTTGGGTTAGGGTCTTTGTAACTGCATTTTACTGGCCGTGGGCTTGAACGTACATTTCTCCTGATCTCTGCCTCCTGAATGGTTTAGGATTACAGGCGTGAGCCACTGACACTTAGCTTTTTTTGGTGGTACTGGGGCATGACCTCAGGACCTACACCCACTCCACCAGCCCTTTTTGGTGAAGGGTTTTTTTGAGATAGGGTCTCTCGAATCTATTTACCTGGGGTGGCTTCGAACCACAATCCCCCTGATCTCTACCTCCTGAGTAGCTAGGATTACAGGCATGACACTGGCACCTGGCTCAAAAAATTTTTTATTGTTTTTGTTCCTGTTTTGAGGCAGAATCTCTCAAAACAGTGGCAGTATTGGGGTTTAAACTTGTGGCTTCAGAGTTGCTATGTAGGCTTTCTATCAGTTGAGCCACACGCCAGCCTCCTCCCCTTTTTTTGGGGGTGGGGGTCGGTCCTGGGGTTTGAACTGGGGCTTCAGGCTTGCTAAGCAGTTACTCTACCACTTGAGCCACTCTTGCTAGCCTTATTGCTTTTTTTGAGACAAGGACTTGTTATGTAGCTCAGGCTGGCCTAGAATGCCCAATCCTTACCTCAGCCTCCCAAATGCTAGAATAACAGAGGTAAATTACATGTGTATCTGTATATCCTAGGAATGCCTGCTATGTACATCTTGTTTTGTAGTTTTTTTTTCCCTGCATAGTAATCTCTTCTCATGTTACAATGTAATTTCATGCTGTGTAACATTTATGGAATTACTGTCATTTATCTCCTATTTGACAGTTTTTAATATTTATTCCAGGTTTTTGGTATTTATAAATGACTGACATCATTCTTTTTGCATCTCTGGGTATTTCCTTAGAGTAAATTTCTAGATGGAGAATTTCTGAGTAAAAGATTATGCCATATTTCATCTTTCCATATTATCTTTCAAAATGGAAACTGTTTCCTGTTTCTCCAGTAGAGTATAAGAGGATAATTATCTTCTTTTATATAAGTTTTTTATTATGATATATCATTATACATAGAGGGATTCATAGTGACGATTCTGATTAGACTTATATTGTACATTAATTACATTGCTCTCATAGTCTCTCTTCCTCAACCCCTCCTTCCCCACTTAAAGCAATTGCAAGAAATTTCTTTTTTTTTTTTGGTACTGGAGTTTGAACTTAGGGTCTTCATCTCGATCCATTCCACCAACCGTTTTCTATGAAGGTTTTTTTCAAGACAGGGTCTCAAAAACTATTTGCTTGGGCTGGCTTCAAACTGGATCTCTGCCTCCTGAATAGCCAGGATTACAGGCATGAGCCACCAGCACCTAGCTCAAGAGGTTTCTTTGTTCTGTTTCATACAGTCCATCATTACCTCCTACCCCCTATTTTTAACAGCTTTCAGTACACATCCTTATATCCTAAGGATAATTAATTCTAGTAAATGTGGCTATTGTCTTCCTCTTAAAAGTTCTCCCTTAAACAAAACAACATGTGGCCCCGGAGGCTCACACCTATAAATTCTAGCTACTCAGGGGGCAGTGATCAGGAGGACCATGGTTCAGAGTCAGCCCAGGCAAATAGTTTGTGAGATCCTATCTCAAAAAAATCCCAAAATGTAGGCCCTGAGTTTAAACCCCAATACTCAAAAAAAAAAAAAAGCAAAACAGAACAAACAAGCAAATAAAAAACAAGCTTTCCTTGCTTAGAGAAGAGGTGAAGGAAGCCACACGTTAAAGGACACATAGCTTCCTTGTTGCAGTAATAGAATGGGTGGTGGTAGGCTGGGTGTGTAGCTCAGTGATAGAGTACTTGCCTATCATGCACAGGATCCTTAGTTCAACCCCAACACTACAAAAAAGAAAATAAAGGGTGGTGGTATCCGTAAACAGATTCTGCTTCTATGATTCCTTGCAGGGCATCACAGGTCTATACCGGGGCATGGCTGCACCCATCATTGGGGTCACCCCTATGTTTGCTGTATGCTTCTTTGGGTTTGGTTTGGGGAAGAAACTACAACAGAAATCCCCAGATGATGTGCTCAGGTGAGTACTCACAGACCTGGAACACTCAGTGCTGTTCTACGTGGTGGTATGATAACGGGAAAGAACCTTGGCAGACAGGCAGTGGCCGTCCCATGGGTTCCCAGGTCTGACTTTAAAGAGTTCCATGTGAAAGACATATCCGAGTTTCCTTTGTCCTGTGAAACAAAAGCAAAAAAAGAAGAAAAATTCCTCCCCTGCCCCTTTGCCAGGTTGTTATAATTGGAATATTAGTAATCCCAACCCAACAGGACTTTTGGGAAGTTTGAATGCTAAACGTGTGTGTGAAATGCTGGGGACAGTGCCTGTTGCTGCAGTAAAACTTTTGTTTTACATTTTTATAATATGATTATAATGATTAGTGCTGGGTGCTGGTGGCTCACACCTGTAATCCTAGTTACTCAGGAGGCAGAGATCAGGAGGATCACAATTCGAAGCCAGCCCAGGCAAATAGTTCACAAGACCCTATCTCAAAAATACCCAACACAAAAAAGGCTGTTGGAATAGTTCAAGGTATAGGTCCTGAGTTCAAACCCCAGTATTGCAAAAAAAAAAAGATTAGCGATACTGATTTCTCTGTTAAAGTGAAGTAAGTGTATTTCCCCTGCCACCACCACCTTTTCTTTGTTCTATTTTGAGACAGGATCTCATTATGTAGCCCAGGCTGACCTAGAACTAACTTTTCTTTTACTTTCTCTCTCTCTCTCTTTCTCTTTTTCTCTCTCCCTCCCTCCCTCCCTCCCTTCTTTCCTTCCTTTCTTCCTTTTTCTTTGTTGTCTTTTCTTTTCCCTTTCTCTTTTTTTGGTGCTGCTGGGGTTTCATCTCAAGACCTTGCACTTGCTAGGCAAGCACTCTTCCACTTGGGCCACACCTCCAGATGGCCTCAAATTTTTGATTCTCCTCCCAAGTGCTGGGATTTCAGATGTGTGCCACCATACCTAGTTTGTATTTTTTTCTTTCTTTTTTTTTTTTCTCTGCTTGAGATAGAATTCAAAGCCTTCCTCATGGTAGGCACGTGCTCTATCACTGAGCTACATCTGCAGCCACTGGAAAAAAAAATCACAAAAAAGGACTGGTGGAGTGACTCAATGTGTAGGCCCTGAGTTCAAACTCCAGCACTGTAAAAAAATTTTTTTAAGTTGTTAATGAAAATAGAAAGTCTTCTCAGAGTTCAGGGGACTTATTAGTGGCAACTTGGGTTGACCTGCATGGTCAATCTGAGCCATGCAGGATGACCTCTGGGAGTATTGTAGGCACCACAGGATCTACCAAGGCTGGCCAGGGTTAGCATCCAGGAAGGATCAAGGGAGGAAGCCCAGGCTGCTGGGTTGTATTCTGTCACCACATCAGACTACAGTAGGCTGAATTAGGATCCAGAATATAAATAGAGGTGGATGTAAAATGAAACTCTTTCTGGAGTCCCACGACCCTCTAAATGTGCCCAGCTTCTATAAATAACCACAACAGCTCCCAAAGGTGAGGGGTTGTTTTAAAGCAGTTAGACTTTTGGTGGTTCATGTGTCCCAGAGACACATGTCCTCTCTGATCACCTGGTATATATGACAGCTCTAGTATATATTCTAGTATATATGACAGCTCACAGCTGTACTTGTGAGCTATGTTCCCATAGAGTCACACAGCACTCAGAGAAGCAGGCTTTGTGCCTGAACAAAGATTGAGATATTCAAGACTCCAGTTCCATCCTGTCAGCCCTGCTACATTCACCATAATGGCATTTGGTGATGGTGTGGAAAGGAGCATTACCAGGCCTTGAGTTGGGAGGCCCAGCACTCACAGGTACCTGGGATGGGCCAGAGGAGTGCCAGAATAGCCAGGTGGTCATAGTCTCCACGTCATGCCCTGTGCACCATTCTAATCAGAGGAAAGTCCTCAGGCCCTTGAGATGAGGCATGCCCAGCTTAGATTTTGGACATCCTGGCAAGCATGGAGCTTGTTGGTCTCATTGAGGGAATTTAGTTACTGAGAGGACTTTTGGGGATAGCAGTAGGAAGGTGGCTGTATATGAAAGAAAGCAAGGGTCTTGGCTATTCAATAGTCAGCCTGTGTGCTTAGTTTATGTGTCTGAAGTAGATGTGTGAGCCCTTCCTGAAGTGAGGGCATGGAAGAACAGGGCTGTTGAAACAGGCCCTGCCTGAGGGAAGAATCTACAGTGGATATCCTTCCATTGCATTTAACATCTGTTACCCTTGTCTTGGGCTCCTTTCGGTTGGGTCTGACCTGAAGGGTCATTTATCAGAGGCCTGGGTAGAGGGGCCTGACATCCAGGCCAGCGTTAAGTTTTTCAGCAATATTTGCTAAGTTGGAGGGACTCTGTTGAAGTGCTGAATATAACTGTGCCCCATTGCCACCAGACCATTGTTAATCCCAGGAAGAAAAGGAATTGCTAGTGATGGCACAGACAGATACTGTGATAGATATCTCCTTATACTCAGGCTGGTTCGTTCTGTGGGGGCCAGAGTGAGAACTACTAACTCTGTTCACTGGAAGACTTTTCTTCATACAGTGGACACAGTACCCATCATTCCTGCCTAAGTATCATCTCTGACTTAACTTTTTCTCAGCATCTTATACTGCATTCCTTACAAGTGACAGCTGGCCTCAGCCTGTGGAGATAGTCACAGCTATTCTTCCTGACCTTAAAGCTGTTCTGCTTGAGTCTTGCCTTTGAATGTTCTCAAGCCCTTGGTGGCCCAGAAGTGAGATTGAAAGGGAAATTGGGTCTACTGAGGTCCAGATCTTGGGTTAGAAGCTTTCTCCCAACAACCCAACATTTTACTATTGGCGAATCAAGGCTCTGAGAGGCCTGAGTGGTAACTTGTTCATAGTCACTGAGCCCAGGGGTGGAAACCATGTATCCCCACAAAGCTTCTCCCATGGATGAGGGATTCTGAGTATGCACCACATGTGAGTGGTCCTCACACCAGGCTCTCATTGCTCTTGACACTGAGACCCTGCTCTAGAAATTTGGTATTAGGATATACTCAGAACTTGGCTTTTGTCTGAAATCTGATTTACTTGTGTCTGTGTTTCTTCCCAAAGTACAAAACCATCCTCTTCATTGGGATTGCCTCTGTCCTTGGTGGTTAGTCACAGGTGTCTACTTCTGTTTTTTGTTTTCAATACAGCTACCCACAACTGTTTGCAGCGGGGATGTTATCTGGTGTGTTCACCACAGGAATCATGACCCCTGGGGAACGGATCAAATGCTTATTACAGGTAAGGCTGTGATCAAGGGGAAGGAAACAAGATTTCTCCATTCAGTACACAATTTTATGTGCATATATATGTCCTTTTACCTTTATAAAGGCTTTAGGTGAGTTATGCAATACAAGGTTTTCAGGAATATGGAAGCAATTTCAATGGAATCAAGAACTAGAATAGTATAACAAATCAATAAAATGTTACATGAGGCATTAACCCTGACCTACCCACCCCTAGTAGCAGCCACTTTGGAAACTGAAAAGGCAAGTCACGTCGCATCAGAAGTGGAAGGGATGCTGCTCCTGCTCAACATGTCATGTGTCCCTGTCAACTGTCCAAGAACCTAGTGCCTTTGCAGGGTACTCCACTCTATAATTTTGTAACTTAAGAATGTTTAAATACAATCATATAGTATGTAAACTTTTCCAATTGGCTGTTTAAACTCAGCATAATTTTCTGGAGATTGATTCAGATTATTGTATATATGAATAGTTCTTTCATTTTTACTGCTGAGTTGTAGTTACAGTATGGATGTACTATTTAACCATTCATCCATTGAAGGACATCTGTGTTGTTTCTAGTTTGGGGCTATTATGAATAAAGATGTTATAAATACTTGCATGCAGAGATTTTTGTGGGAAAATGAGTTTTTATGTCTCTAAGCTAAATGCCCAGGAGTATAGATGTTAGACTGTACAGTAGTTGCATCCTTAGCTTTTAAAGAAACTGCTAAACTGTTTTTCAGGCTCATTATAATATTTCACATTTCTACCACCCATGTACAAGTGATCTTGTTTCTGTATATTCTCACCAATATTTGATGTGGTCACTATTTTTCATTTTACCCTTTCTAATAGATATTTAATAATACCTTGTTTTACTCTGTATTTTCTTTTTTAAAAAATTTATTTCCTTAATAGCTAAAGATGGCAAACATCTTTACCTTATGTTTATTTGCTATCTGGATATCCTCTTCGATGAAATGTCTGTTCATGTATTGTGCCCATTTTCTTTTTTTTCAAACTTAGTACTAGGGTTTGAAGTCATGGACCTTGCATTTATGCCTGGGGCAGCCTCGACCAGATCCTTCCATTTATGCTTTCCACTTAGGTACACACTATTGTGTCCAGCCTTTATTGGTGAAGATAGAATCTCTTGAATTTTTTCTTGTACTGTCCTTGAACCACAATCTTCTTGATCTCTACCTCTGGAGTAGCTAGAATTACTGGCATGAGCCAGCATGCCCAGGCCATTTTGCACATATTCTAACTGGATTTGTTTTTATTGTTGACTTTTGAGAGCCCTTTATATATTCTGGATACTATGTAGTTTGTAAATATTTTCTCCCAGTTATAATGTCTTTTCATCCTCTTGGTAAGGTCTTTTGTAGAGCAAATGTTTTTAATTTTCTTGAAGTCCAGTTTACTAATTTTCCTATTATGGATCAAAATTTAAGTATTAATAAGAATTCTTTAACTATATCTAAATTCTGAAGATAGTCTCCTTTTTTTCCTAAGGCTTTTATTTATAATTTTTTTCTAAGAACTCATTTATTTGGCTAAATAAGTAAATGTTAAGTAAAGGTTTTCATAATGGTTTTAGATTATACAATTGAAAAAGGTTTAATTGCCAACTGAATGGGATCATTAGTAGGTTTTTTTTAGGAACGTTTCAAACTGGTATGATCAGAGGCAGGTTGATAGAAGAAGTATGATTTGAGCTGGGTTTTACAGAATGGTTCAGATGGATGGTGTAAGCCAAAGTAGGTATGAACTCATTTGTGGGAGCAGTGAGCAAACCAGTTGGGCTGGGGTAGAATCCCTTAGTGGCTGATAAGCCTGCAAAAATAGTGGCTAGGTAGCCAAACATTAAGGACTTTTTGCAGCTGCATTCTTGACAATGCAAAACAAAGTAGGTTTTTGAAGGAGTACAGAATGACACATAGTCAGAGCTGTGATGTAATGGCTTAGGAAACTCAGGTAGCAATAGCTAATTGGATGGAATAGAACAAGAAATGGACATCCAGTTGGTTGGTTATTTGATTTGGTTGTATACTGATGAATGATTACACTAAGAGGCAGCGGAGGAGGGAAGAAAAAGACAAGTAACTGTTAATTTTTTTTCAATAAAACTTTATAAAAAGCAGATCTAAATGTTAATTTTGAATATGTATGTCACATGGATGTGTGTATTTAAGTGTCATTTAGTTTAGGAAGACTCAGTAGACCTTAGTGAATGACTTCTGGGGCAAAAGAGAAAAGGTAGTTAGAGATATTTTGTTGTTTGAAGGTTTAGAGACAGAAGTTCCTATTTTGAGAAGCTGGGAAGTATGTTCTGTAGTACGTGTTGACAGTCTAGTTCATGGTGCTTTGTTTAGCAAGCCCCCTTTGTTTCTGATTTTCTTTTCTTTTTTTTTTTAATTCTTTTAATATTCATATGTGCATACAAGGCTTGGGTCATTTCTTTATTTATGATTTTGTGGTGTTTTGTTTTGTTTTACTTTTTTTTTTTTTCATTTTTTTTCTTTTATTAATTCATATGGCATATAAGGCTTAGTTTTTTAATTCTTTTAATATTCATATGTGCATACAAGGCTTGGGTCATTTCTTTATTTATGATTTTGTGGTGTTTTGTTTTGTTTTACTTTTTTTTTTTTTCATTTTTTTTTTCTTTTATTATTCATATGTGCATATAAGGCTTAGTTAATTTCTCCCCCCCTGCCCCCACCCCCTGTTTTGTTTTACTTTGATGGTATTGGGGATTGAACCTGGGCCTTGCTAGGCAAGAGCTCTACTACTTGAGCCACACCCCCAGCCCTTTGTTTCCATTTTGTTTTTCAGACAGTGTCTTGTGCTACCTTGCCTGGACTGGCCTTGAACTTGAGGACCTCCTGCCTCCACTTGCCCACCAAAACAAAACAAAACAAACAAACAAAAAAACTGTTTTGTCTGTACTGTCCATTATACCAGTACCCTTTGTTGAAAAGACTTTCTTTTTCTTTTTTTTTTTTGGGTGGGATTGGGGTTTGAACTCCAGGCTTCACACTTGCAAAGCAAGGCACTTGAGCCTGCTTGAGCCACATTTCCAGTCCATTTTGCTCTGGTTATTTTGGAGATGGGGTCTCACAGACTATTTGCCCCACTGGCCTCAAACTGGGATCCTCTTGATCTCAGCCTCCCAAATAGCTAGGATTACAAGTGTGAGTCTCTGAGCCCAGATGGTTTGAACTCAAAGCTTCATGCTTGCTAGACAGGTGCTCTATCACTTAAACCACACCTCTAGCCCTTTTTGCTGTGGTTATTTTGGAGACAGGGTCTTGTTTTTTTTTTTTGCTCAGGCCAGCCTGGACCACAATCCTCCTATTTTATGTTTCTTGCCGTTGCTGGGATGACAGGCACATACCACTATCTCTGGCTTTTTTCCATCGAGATAGGGTCTTGCAAACTGTTTTTGCTGGGGCTGACCTGGAACCAAGATCCTTCCAATCTCGCCTTTCCACATAGCTTGGGATAACAGGTAAATACCACTACACCCAGCTATTGGCTAAGATGAGATCTCACTTTTTGTTGGGATGGTCTCTGACTGTTATCCTACTGATTTCAGCCTCTCAAGTAGCTAGGATTACATGCGTAAGCCTCCAGTGACTGGCTAATTCCACTGAATTGTTTTTGCCTCTGTTAAAAATCAACCAGGCATATTTGTGGAGATCCATTTCTGGGTCCTGTATTCTATTCTACTGATCTGTGTGTCTATCCTTCCATCGATGCTGTATAATAAGTGTTGAGATTAAGTAGACTGATTCTTCCCACTTCTTTCTCTTCCCAGTACCAAGGATTGAACCAGGACCTCACTCATTCTAGGCAAGCATTCTTACTACTTGAGCCACACCCCAACCTTTTTTTTTTTGAGTAGTACTGAAGTTTGAACTTAGGGCCTCATGCTTGCTAGGCAGATGCTCTACCACTTGAACCACTCCGCCAGCCTCCACATACAATCCTTTTATTCATGTTTTTGTTTTTATACTTGCTCTTAGCCAAAAGGCCAAGATTATTTTGTGAGTGTGAGAGATTGGGATTTGAGCTAGGACTTCACACTTGAGCCATACCTCCAGTTCATTTTGGTCTGGTTATTTTGTAGATGGGATTTCTGAACTGTTTTCCCAGGCTTGCCTTGAACTGTGATCCTCCCTATCTCAGCCTCCCAAATAGCTAGAATTACAGGTGTGAGTCACCAGCACCCTGCTTATTTATTTATTTATTTTGACAGTTTCATGTTTCATTGTAGTGGTAGGGATCAGGCCTTGACCACATACTGACACAGAAGTTACAGGCGCTGCTTTTTGGTCTTCACTTTCTCCTCGTGCTTGTTCCTTGTGCTTGTTGAGCTGGTAGCACAGAGTTCCTGTCTTCTTGGGCCACAGATCCAGGGGCCTGTACCTCTTGCACTGAGGTTTAGAATTTCCTGAGGTTTTCTTTATGAATCTGATTAATGGCAGTGAGAACCTGGGCAATGGATTTTTGGACAATTTGCATCTTGGAGAGCTGCCTGTCACTTTGGAGATATGCAACTGCGACAGTTCCACCTTCAGGTCACCCAGCCATTTCAGCAGCTCCTCCTTCTTGAGGGGAATGGTCTGAGCCTTGATTTTAGCCATAGCTGCATTATCTGCCAGGCCGCCTGGTCCCTTATTTTTGTTTTTGAGATAGGGTCTCACTAACTTTGCCCAGGCTGGCCATGAATTCAGATCTCCTACCTCTGTCTCTCCAGTAGCTGGGATTACAGATGTGCACTACCATGCCCAGCTAATTTTGTTTTTTTAAATTGTTCTGCTATTTTAATTCCTTTAACTTTCCATATAAATTTTATGACAATTTAGAGATTTTGAAAGATCTTATTGACATTTTGATAGAAATTATTTAAGTTTATACATCAATTTGGGCAGAATCAACACCTTTATTGTTTTGAGTTACCCATGGATTGAGTTACCCATGGATTTGAGTTACTTTATTGTTTTG